CAACAAGATTTATTACTTTCCCTTTGAACTTTGCTATGTGTACAGCCTTGGTACACAGCCCACACACATGGGGGTGGGTCCCACATTTTTGTGGGCCCCACCCCATGTGTGTGGGTTGTGTAAATTGCTGTGTCCCTTTGAACTTTGCTATGTGTACAGACTTGATACACATCAATTTACACAGCCCACACACATGGGGTGGGCCCCACCCAATGTGTGTGGGCTGTGTAATTCACTGTACAAAAAGACTGTACAACAAAACTGTACAACAAGCCTTTTTCTTTCCCTTTATCCTTAATCTGTCAAGAAATTTAAATTTACTTTACCATTAATCTATCGATTTTCATATTTGTAGAGGGAAATTTTTATGGGGTTAATGTTAAAATAAATTTGACCTTGATGTTGTGGCCTTTTTGGGAGAATCCGTAAATCATTCCAACCCGTGGCGGAACTACAAGGAGTCGTTTTGGATCAACTGACTCATATTTTCTTATTTCTCCTTTTTTTACACTAATCCGAAAATAAAATTTGATTGTTGAAATTGCATAATATCATATCTATGGAAATTGTTTATAGGAATATTGCTTCATATTTTCTGTTGTGCTTTGTTGGAATAGTGAGACTTTGCCTATTGAAATTAATTGTGTTTTTTTTTAATTACAATGATGATTCTCAAGAATTAATTGTATAATCGGATGGTAGATCAATGATTGAATGATGGTTTGATAGCGTATATTGAGAACCGTGTACTTGACAATACTAGTCAGATTGAACGTGTAATACACGTTATTTTGAAATACTTTATAAATATTGTGAAAATAATATTTGACCATCCATTTACCCTTTTATCTAAATATGAAAGAAATGCAAGTCACTGAAAATAAATGTTAATTATTATATATGCATGTAAATAGTGAAATGCAGATTTGAATGTAAGTATTAGAATTACTATCATAAATGAATAGTAATGACAAATACGACATGTGAATTAACGTGAATGTTAGTTAATTTAGAATTAACATCAAGAAATATATATGTTACAATGAATGTTGAATGAGTAATGCTAGATGAAAGTGTACATCTAATTTGACACTCCCCACATACGGGAGGTCGTAGACCCCACCATCCATGTGAGGAGTGTGTCAAACTTGTACACAAAAGTGTACAACAAGAATTATCATTGTTGAATTATTTATATTAAATGAATATAATTTAATTTCCAATTAAGTGAATTTGGATACTAAATTAGCATACATGGACATGAATAACGAAATGCATTCTTGATTGCGAAGATCACTTGATGTGAATGTATATTTTTTTATTTCTTAAAAACCTCGATTTGATTCCTATTCAAACTTTCGATCATTGAACATATCTCTTTTTTGGGTTGACGATCGTCGATTTTTTAAATAAAGGAATTAATAAATTTCAATTAATATTAATTAAATGAATGTTAATCTTAATTTTAACTAATTATAGTATTTATTACAGTTCGTAAATTAAATACATGTTGAAAAACGGAAAGTATGATACTATTGAAATAATATAATTATTGTAGGGTTATAATCGTCCAAAATATGATTCTCGATTCTGATTCGACCACGATTCAAACTTTTGATCAATGACCACTTCTCTTTTTTGGATTGATGTTCGTCGATTTTTAAAATATTGAAATTAATAACATGGACATGGATGTGCACGCGAATGTTAATATGAAATTTCAATTAATATTTGTTTCGCGCGGGTTCACTCGCTAACAATTAAAAGGGATCAGACGATTGTGTAAGGGACAAACCTCTTGGAACAAAGTCCCAAAAAGGGGTGTTTATTGAATATGAAGATTACAAGCTTGGACGTAGACAAGATGCCTCCAAGGGGCGCAAGCACACAAGTACAGGGGAATCGAAGTTAATTAAAACTAAGTCTAATAAAAGGAAATTACATATTCTCTGTTTGAGAGTCAATTTTGTCGGGGCT